CTTCTTCAGAGGCCCAGGGCCAGGAAAGAATGCCTTTAAGCATCTGCAAGGTGTAGCTGCCTCACCTTTAACCCCTGTTTGTTGCAGGCAGGTGAGGGCAGGAGGCAGGTGAGGGCGGGAGGCAGGTAAGGGTGGAAGGAAGGAAGTTCAGACATGCAAGTAAGTTATGGGAAAGTACAAAGGATCAGATGAGAATAAATAAGCTCCCAAAGGTAGAAAGACCAGATAACCAGCTTCTCAGAGTCAAAAGAGAGAGAGTATGGTCCATGTGATTCAATAGCAGAAAAAGCCTTTATGGAGAAATTGAGTATAAATACTAGGACTGACCAGGATGAGAGGTAACCTTTTGGGAAGAGCAGCAATGTCAGGTACATGTAACAAAGTGACAATGACCAAGCAGACCCAGCCAGGCCTACCATGTAAGGTTGTGCAGGTTGTGTTTTGCACAAAGGCTTCCTCCAGCTGACAGGGTCAAATGGTGACTGAAGTTTAGTCCCCAAGTCCTGAGCCAGGAAAGGGTCACTTTTTGAACACAACATCTTTTCATAATTCATGCAAAGGCATTTTAGATGTTAGAAGTGGGAGTGGAAGGAGGGGTACAAAGAAATATAAAACCTAAGGAAAAATAATTATGTACCCGAATGGAGGACTGGCTCCAGACTATAATAGCAGAGTGGTTGACCAGTTGTAACAATACCAGCCAGCAGACATAGAATGCTTACTTTGTGTCTAGTGCTACACTGACACATGATAGATCATTACAGCAATTGGAAATGAAGTGGTTCCTGTCAAAGGAAGACTCCAACACTAAATTAAAAAGCAGAACTGGAAACAGAGCAAGAGTAGCTAAAATAAAAGAAAATGAGGGGCGCCTGGGTGGCTTAGTGGGTTAAGCATCTGCCTTCAGCTCAAGTCATGATCCCAGGGTCCTGGGATCGAGCCCCGCATCGGGCTCCCTACTCAGCACAGGAGCCTGCCTCTCCCTCTCCCACTCCCCGCTGCCTGTGTGCTCTCTCTCTCTCTCTCTTTCCCTTCTGTCTGTCAAATAAATAATAAAATCTTTAAAAAAAAAAAAGAAAATGAAAATGAAAGGCAACATAAAGTTAGAGTCATAAGATAAAAGACAGGCTTTCTCTGTGAAAATCAAATATAATTTTGCCCTGCAAAGGGTCTTGAAGAATATCAAGGTTCCACCCCATTTTTTCCACTACTCAACACTTCGTCTGCTTGGGTTACTCATACTGCCACTGGGATAATGAGAATGCCACTTTATGTGGACCTACTGTTTCAGGGAATTCAAATGCTCTCACGTGTACCAAGTCTAGCAGCACAGTGTTGTGCGAAGGCCAAAAACTCGGTTACAACAGGACCTTAACTAAAATTCCAGATTTTACCCCCTTGTCTAGATGATCTTAGGCAAGTAACCCACGCCCTCTGGATTTCAGTTGCGAAATATCTAAAATGAAACACATACTCCCCATTTTACAGATGCTAAAACTGAGGCGTGCAGAAGTGAAGTAATTGATAGGTGGTAGAGCAGGGATGCCTTTTGACACTAGCCTAGAGCTGTCAGAACTTACACAGGGTCAGAATCATGCCCGTGGTATTACTGTTCTAAAGCTCCATATGAATTTCCATCCATTATCTCAAAAGAATTAGTACAAGAACATGTGTAATAAATGAAAGTTTAAGTATCTCTAATGACAAATGCATCTTTCAGTTTGTCCAAAAGCAAGTCACACTGATAATAAATCAAAACTCTTTCCAAATTGTCTTAATGCTTTTAGTTGAACATTTCCCCAAAATATGTAAATAGCTTATGAATGCTAATAAATAATCTACTTTCCACATTATCAACCAGGCCTACGTAAACCCTAGGGCTCAGAGATAAGTTTGCCTCAATAGTTAATAATAAAGTTTTAATTTACAAACTCAAAGTCCCCATTAAATTAAAAGGTGGATTTTCCCTACAGTAGAACTATCTTGATTAAACATGTTTACACTCAAATTGTGCAAAAACCAGAAAAGTCCAGGGCCCCTTAAATAACAGAACTTCAAATAAGCCCTTGCTATCAGCGAGCAGCAAGGTAGCTTTTCTGGACTAAGTTCCTCTAAGTGGAACAAACTGAAAAAGATGTTAACAATCGCAGGCAGGCACTGAAGTGCAGAAGAATATATTTAAACATCAAGACCTAGAGAACAGAACCCTCATCTGGAGAAGGAGGGTCTTTTATCGCCAAAGTCACTTTCAGAGACCAGACAACCAGAGAAATAAAAGGCTAACTTGCATTTTTGGGAAGATATATTAAAAAGTAGCAATGACAAATGCACTCCCATAAAATTATTCTGTAATACTTGAAAGCACACTGGCAAAAAGATACAAAAATTTTGGCATAACTGGTTTGATCCAAAAAATCCAATGTAAGAGTAGCATTATTTAAGGTATCGGGTTTTTACTTTCTAAACTCTTGAGATCTAGACAAAAATTATTTTAAAATAGCATTAAAGAGAAACTTAACTAAGGACAATTTCCTCTTCACAAATACAAGTTAGAAATCAAGCTACTCAATAAAGCATAATTAGGTAGAGATTAAGGGTTCTGATCACATTTATACATCAAATCTCAAAAGGAGTTACATAAAAATGAGCCCATATGCCTAAAAAAATCTGTAGGAATATACATTAAATGCTAATGTGGTTGTTGCTGAGGAGTAGGATTAGAAGTAGAATATATATTGCTTTCATGATCAGAAATACTCAAAATATATAGTGAGGTAGAAAATATAATGCTGGATGGAACAGGAAGAGAGGCAGGTTGATTTTATTTCCACCAGTTTATTATATATGAGCTCACTGTTAACCAAATGCAGGGCACTTCACTAGATGCAACAAGAAAAACCAAGATGAATCAACAAAATCAAAACACATGCCCTCAAAAACTCATGATCTAGGAGTAGAGATAAAATACAGGTTCCAACAACTAAGTACAAAGCAGAATTCAAAATGTGCTATTGTACTAACAGTAAATACAGAATGGTAGAAGGGCAAGAGAGAAAAGAAATTGATTCTAGCTGAATGGAAATCAGGGAAGCTGAGACAGAGAAGGATGGAGAGATTCTGGCAAGTGAATGATGAGAGAAGAGGAGGGGAAAAAAAGCCCAGTTCATATTGAGCAGTCGCTATGTGCCAGGTACTGAGAAGTACTTTCATTCATTCATTCAACCAACTATTCATTCATTCAATCAATCAATCAACGTTCATATTTGCCCTATAAGGAGGTACTATTATCCCTGCTTCACAAACCAGGAAGCTGAAGCTTGCTCAAGCTCACATAACTAGTAAGCAGAAGAACCAGGACTGAACCCAACTTTGTGTTCCTCATCACTCAGTTATGCTGCCCGTCTAGACAAAGAAAAAACATCAAGATCTATAGGCCAGGAACAAATAATGAACAAGGTCATAGAAGAAGAAGTAAACTTACATTTATTGAAGGTATCTATGGATCAGCTTCTGTGTCTCCATACCTTTTCTATGAAAATTTACTCACTTTTCCTGTGATATGATCATGATCACATCCATTTTAAGGCTGAGAAAACTAAGGTTTAGATAGGTCAAACATCAGGCCAAACAGCTACTATGCAGCAAAACAGAAATTTAAACCAAGTCTGAGAATCCAATCCTGGGGCAAGCCAGACAGATGGATAAAAGTGTCTCATTTAAGCTCCAAAACAACACTGTACAACTGGTAACATTATTTTTCTCATTTTACAGCTAAGAAAATGAAAAATAAGATAAGGTATGTAAATTCTCCAAGTTCACCAGAACTGGTAAGAGGTGGACCCAAAATTTAAGCCTGATTTCAGAGCCAGAATTCTGACCCTCTGGATAAAATGCCGGAAAGAATAAACAGGAGCCAAATCATGGACAGCCTCTAATGTCACACTTGGAATCGATCAGCTGTGCAAACTTACTGAAGATTTTTGGTGGGGAGAACATGATTAAATTACATTTTAGGAATAAAGTCCTTCAAGAGACATATCAAAATTAGATTCCTTGGCACACAACGTTTAATAAGACATGGAGCACCTTACCTTTACAGCTTCTCAAATAAGGTTAATCACTGTTTCAATTAGGTATATTTAATTTACCCAAGAAGGTTATCTCTGTAGTGGTTCTGCAAGCACTCAATTATGGTAACCCTCTTGAAGCGTCAAGCCCCAACTAGGTACTGTAATACTTGGCATAAACTACATTAGATTTTCCCATTATTCTATCTTTCTATAGATTTCTTCACATAGTGGTGTAGAAATTGGAAGTTGAGTAATTGATAATTGAAACTGCCTTCTCAAAGCAAAACAGGAAGAGAGGGAGGGGGCAAGAAGATCAACAACTGAAATAGGTTTGCTTTTCACAATTCATTTTGCATTTTGGCTATCATGCCCAGCTATCCAGCCAGGAGGCCTAGGATTTTCCACTTCCAAAACAGGTTCAACATCCCCCAGCGACAAGCAGAGTCTGACTCATCCTAACAGCCAGCATCAATTCTTAATGAGTCCCAGAGCTCCCAAAGTCCTTTCTACTTTTCCTGCCAGTGAGTCCCTGGCCCCCTTTCCCTCTGTCCCAAATTCCTTAAGACCTTCCTCATTTCACCTCTTTTCTTTTAAAGTCAGGTGTAACTGACATACAGTGTTATATTCGTTTGTGGCGTGTAACATAGTCGACATTTGTATACATTGCGAAATGGTCGTCACGATAAGTCCAGTTACCATCTGTCACCTTACAAAGTTAATACCATATTATAGACTGCATTCCCCATGCTGTATATTGCATCCCCACGACTTATGTATCTTATAACAAACAGTACGTTTATACTTCTTAACCCCACCCCTTAAGAATCACTGCCAAGCCGTTCCACCAGGAGGCAGACACGCAGGTTTTGGTGGCTTTCTCCCGTCTTCCCTCCATCCTCACGTCTCCCCGGCTCGAACCTCCGCACTCACCAGATGCAGGGCCAAGGGCAGCAGAAGCAGGAAGAGCCACAGGTAGAGGTGGCAGCTGTTGGTAAACTCGCTCTGCTCCGGGTCGTGGTACCAGCCGCCGGTGAGCGCGGCCCACACGCCCTGCCGGAGCAGCTGCAGCGCCTGGGACACCATGCCTGCGGCGCCCCGGGGCCGGCGCGCCCCGC